GGAGGTTTTTTGTTTTGTTTTTCACATCTATCTTTTCTATGATATTTCTTTAACTAAATTTCCATGTTTAGTGCTTTGTCTTTATTTATTTTTATTTTTCATCTTTTAATAAATTATACTCGAACAATAACCCCAGTTATACACATAATATTCCTATATTTATATTTATTTATTATTCTCTTTTTTTTTTTTTGGGAAGTTTAAAAAATAAAAAATACTAGAGTAATTAGTAACATATATTGGGTCATAGATGGGTCATGTAGATACATCTCTTAAAAATAAAAAATAAAGTATATAGATATCTTAAACGTGTAGTGGGCTTTCCAGGATTGGCCCATAACTGAATCTGTCTAACCTTGATCAATCACTAGCAGGCCCAGATAAAATCCAAATAAGAGGCCTGACTCCATTGGCTTAAGTGGTGTTTGGTCCTTGGACCGATTATTAAGAGCTCCAAATCTGCATGTTGTAAATCACCCACAACTATACACGTTATTGGTGGAAAAATTAAAAAACTACACTCATAATATATATATATTTGCCGCAAATATGCAATATATACATAAAGCACACATGCATAACCACACGAAGCTACGTAAGGGCAAGGGCGGATTCAGGAGTGGGTTAATATTAAACATAAAGGGATAATTTCATAAAAATGGAGTTTTGGGGGTCAAAGGACAAAAGAATGGAGTCAAAATTAAGTTTTTCACATTAATGAAATTTTGTAAAAATTTGACGTGGACATGAAAATTTATTATATATTATCTTTTTATTCCCAAAACACCCTTCTCTCATATATAGAGAGAGAAACCCATCTATGGCAACCGTTCTTCCCAAACGAACAACCAACAATCCTATCTGCCATCTCTCTCTTTCACCCACCTTACCAGCAAACCCATTTAAAAAAAAAAATTGTAAATCTTTGTTCTTCCTCTCACGTTTCCTCCAAACCCCATCTAAACCCAAAATCCATATCATACAAAAGAAAAATCAAGATCCAAGATGAGATTCAAAAACCCAACACAAAACATCATAAAAAAAAAACCAACACAATCCTCTGTAATGGTCGATCCAAAAGGTTGATGCAAATGCTTGTGGATCCACAAGAAATTTTCAAGTGGGTCTGTGAAATCCAAGTAACGCCATAAAAATTGGAGTATTCACAGATGAGAACTAGGCCTTTCTCCATTTGGTTTGTGAGTCATTGGCTCAACGCTTGTTACATGGGGTGATTAGAGAGCTTAAGGAACTTGGACATTGCACATGGTCATACATTAAAAAAAAAAAAACAAAAAAATGAAATGAAATCAATTTAAAAAATATATATATATATATGTTTGATTGAATAACAAGGTTCATTCAATATCTTGATGTCTGGTACTATATCTGTAAGCTAGTTTGGGGGTAAGGCTACTCCATTACATTGATTTGTTAGGGTAACAATACATTTTGATGCCGGTTCACTAAAAAAGGATGATAGAATTAATTCAATTTGCATGATTAACTTGCTTGATGCGTGGATGACCATTTTTACTTACATGATGTTGAAATGTTGAGAATAGATTAGAAATGACATAAATTTGCATACTTGAGGTAGTCTACTTTCAACACTTGTTTAATATGTGCCGTTGCTTCTCAAGTAAGAAAGAACTTTTGATGTTTGTGGTTACCATTTCTGGAAACTCTCACGAGACTTCACTCGTCCACTAGGGGTAACCTAGAGGTTTAAAAGGCTTGTTGCATGTGCTAAATGCAACCGTGATCCCTACGAAAGTGGTGTTATCTTTATTTGCTTTATTAGTTCATAGTTGTATATATTTTTGTTTCATTTCCATGCTGTAGTTCATTGCTAGGGACTAGCAATATCTAAGTTTGGGGGCGTGATAAGTGCTTAAATGTTGCACATTTCAGCACCTAAGCTAGGGTATTTCAGTATTTACATCTATCTTATTTTAATGTTTTAGTTTTAATTTATGTTTTTGTTAATTTCATGTCAATAAGGTTAAAATGAGCTAATTTTGGTTCACTGAAGCCTTTTTAGAGTCAAGCAAAGATATTCAGAAAAAGCTTAGAAAAATGGCAAAAAGGAGGTCGCAGCCCATTGCTCGTATAGTGTGTTTATTCTTCAAAAGCGGTCAATCTCAGGCCTTTGATGATGTTCCCGAAGATGAAGAAGCAAACCAATGAGCTCGGGGCCAAAATGGAACTAAATAGGGCTTAAAGGAAATTTCCAACACTTGGGGGATCAATCCTCCAGGGTGGGGGATCGATCCTCCAGGACTTGGCAACATTATAGGATTTTCTTATTGTTTGGGCTTATTTTGTGAACTATTGGGCTTTAATAGAGTTATTACTTGTGGCCCAGTGAGCCATTAGTTTAGGGTTAGTTTTTATTTTATTGAGGTGGAGATTATTATTTTAATTATTAAGTTTTATATTCTGTACCGATATCACGTTCTCTCTGGAAAAACACGAGAAAAAGGAGAAAAAGTAAGAACAGGCTAGGGTTTTGAGAAGAAGCTTAGAGATGATGAAGCAGATGATGGAACTTGTTGACACCTTGAATCCATCAACTATGAGCGGCTAAATCTTCTACTTAGGGTTGGATAAACCCTAAGCATGTAACCTAATCTCTCTATCTTTTCACTTTTTAGGGATTTATTTGTGTAATTTTTGTATAGCCTTGAAATATAAATTAATTCTTTCATTTGATTATCTATGTCAATTTCATATTGTCTTATATGTTTTTGATTGATAATTAATCTCTACACTTGATTTCTTTGTGAATTGAATCTTGTGATGGCTATGCATTGTGTTAATTAGATGTAATTGTGTTTTAATTTGATGGAATTTTCTTCTACTAGATGGGTTGTACTATATAGTTAATTTAATTAGGTTAAACTCTTGTTGAATTTTGTTAATTTCAGGCTTAATTAGTTTAATTGCACTTTCGTTCTTAGGTAAGTAGACAATCCATGCTTGTGTATGAATTCCATGCTTGTTGCCACAATTACAGTGGTTGCCTAATATCGCCGGGTCGGTGGTTGCCTAATATCGCCGTCAACACTTACGTCGTGCTCGCTGGACTCGTCTGCAATGGATCCTCTGTTTGGAACGGGTGTCCTTAGGGGCGATCTCAACAAGATTATATTCGGTTTCTCAATTTTTTTTGTTATTCACGCCGTCCAGATGAGGTGTGTTATTCACACCGTTTGGTTTGCTCAATTTTTTGCTCGAACGAAGTTTTAATGGCGAATGAGTTGGACTCAGCCAAGTTGGGTTCGGGTATGGCCTTTTCCCATCAGGCTCTTTCCCAACTTCCTCATTTGTTGCTCTAATTTCATTTGGCTCACTATTTTTAGTGTTGGTTTTCGGATTGTTGCCATTTTGGTTAATGTAGAAACTTTTTGGTATGTCGAAAGTTCTTGCAGCTTCAAGGTATTGCTTGCTGGTGGGCAGCTCCAATTATTATTGTGGTTGCATTCTTTTTATTATTATTATTTATTATTATTATTTTTCATGTTTGTAGATTTTTATTCTCTTCCAAGTATATAATATGTTAGTGTGATTTTACGTTAATGAGGTGTATCGCATTTTCCTGAATTCTGAGTGTATATGTCTTTAAAAAATAAATAAAGTTTGTTTTTTTAGCAGACCTTCTTATTATTAATTGTGCTTTAACAGTCTAAAGCTGTTATTTAATTTCGTAATTTGTCTGTTTTATAAACAGATTGATATTATAAAAGGTATTATACTCTACAGCCTACACTAGACTTGACCAAATTCTGAACCATAACTGTAGTGTATGGTCATGGTTTTGCATATAATTTGTATAATTATCCATGGAAAATTACTGGTTAATCCATTTCTAGAAAAAAAAATTTGGTAATAATACGACTAAATTAAGTGAAAGAAAAGAATGAAACATTTAGACCAACCTCAAATATACAATAAAATGACTAATAATATATTTGTATCATGATGAACCAAACCTAGCAAAGCAGAAAAATATGAATTCTAGCTCTGAACATGAAAATATTGGTGAGAGATCGATGATGGGAGTCCTGACATCATTTAACATATATCACTTAAAAATTAAAATTAAACTCATTTAATTCTTAAAATGAAGTAATAAATTAATCATATATATAAGGAATTAATATATAAATAGAGATAGAATCTTTAGAGAGAGAGAGAGAGAGAGAGAATAAATAAAGAATAAAAATAAGAAAAGAAAATTATATTATATTGAGAGAAAAAATAAATAAAGAATACAAATATGAAAAGAAAAGCATTACAATAAAGAAAAAATAAACAAAATACGAGTATTATATATAGAAATGAGGGATATAATATAAATAGGAGAGAAATAATAGAAATATGAATTTAATGAGTATTATATATATATAATAGGTGTATTATATATAGATTATTTATAGAAAGAAAATTAATTAATACAAATAAGAAAATAACAAAATTAATTATTTAGAGAGAGAGAGAGTCGGTAGAGAGGAGAGAATAACAAAATTCCAAAATTTTGTTAATTATTTACAAAAAGAACCCTTGTACTTTCAAAAGTGTGCAAATATCCCCTTTGGGCATTTTGGGTAGTGCAAAATGGTATTTTTGGTATTAAAGCCCAACTCCTGCTCACATGCACTGCACATGGCAAATTTGTTAGTTAGAAGCTCTTATTTGCAACTATTTGAAATTAAGGGGGTCAATCTTGAACAGCATGTGTGTTATTTGCAACTTTATGAAAATAGAGGGGTGTTTTTTGCACTTACTCCCTTTGCGAATTGGGCACCTGTCGTTTTGTACGGTAGGTGGCTATGTGTTAACTGTTAACTTTCGGACAGACCGTGCATATTTTCTCCTCCGATTGACCCGTACGGATTGGGTCAAATACGGGTTAACTCTGTATATTGGCCCTTTTACCCAATCCCTTTGCTTTTAGAATGGCGTACAGGGGATATAGTGGGCCTCGGTCTTTTTTATTAGAAAAAAATTCTCATATATATGATTTACGCACACATATAAGTATATATAGTAATATATTTCAGAATTTTATAGGATAAAACTGTGTGTTCTTCAGTAATATACTGATATATGGAAATTATACGAGGGAGCTCTTATAAAAAAGTTAGGGTTTCAAAAAACCGCATTTTCCTCACAATCGAGGGTTTATTTTCGGTAGCAAGAACGTGCCTGTCGACGAAGAAGATCAATGATTTGTGTGGCTTCTCTTATTCTTTAGTTGCGATCTATACGAGGTATTTCTCTCTCTCTCTCTATATATAGGTGTAATTTGCGTTATTTAAAGTATTCTTTGAGTTTACATATGTGCGATAAAATGTTGATAATGTATGATTGATTAAGTGAATCTGTCTGTGTATGGACTTGTAGTGTTAAAAGATTCCATCATTGTAAATAGTTGTTTTTTATTTTTTATCTCTCAAGAGCTCCAAGTATGCATTACGAAATTGTGAATGTGATATTAGTTGGCTGATCGAAATCTCAGTTACAAATGCTTTTAGGAAATTTATATAAATCATAGATCTAATTAGTGAAATAGTTCGTTTCTTGTTATCAAAAGAAGGAAGAAGACAAAATTAAAGGAGAAAATTCGAGTGTACTATGACTCCATTTTGATCTTTTATACGTTTTTGACTGAGATGACTTTCATATTGCTGAATTTATAGTTTGCTGTGCTTCATTTATAATCAACTTTGATAATGACATTTGCCCAAAAAAGGTTATATCATAAGAAAAGAAAAAAACCACGTAGTGAACTGTTAGTATGAGTCATTTCTTGCCAGAAAAAAAGACGACACTGAAATATAAGCTCGGGTTAACTTGCTATGTGACATGGCTCTGCTTCGTTGTCACATACTCATGTATATCGCCGAGTTTATAGTCTTTTAGATCCCTTATAATTATAGGTTGATAATGAACTTGTGATTCTTAACATCCATTCCAACCTCCCCCCACACAAGAGTAAAGAAAAGAAAAATCATCTCCTTATGAAGAGATAAAACAATACTTCTGAATTACTAGTATGATTTAAGTATGTGGCTGAACTTGTACGCATTTAACGTGAATTGCATCAACGTCACTGCTATTATAATTATTATTAACCTACAATAACTGTCTGTATTATGTGTCCCTTTGTGCATATTTATGTGACCTGAATTCAGACTTGCTATGATGCTAACACATTCTCTTATGTTCAATATTTGAACATGATAGTGAGAGAACTCATATTTAATATCAACTGTTCTTTAGTATCAGTAATTGTGCCCGCTATTTGACCATCCTTGATGACCACTATGCTAGCATGCTCTTTTATGTTCAATTTAGTAAACATATGTAAATGTAAATGTGCATATATGTATTAACATATGCTTATTATTTAATTTGATAAAGGAAAGCATACACATGTATTTATGTTATTCTTTTGGGTATTGGATTCTCTATTCCGATTGAGCCCATTAACTGGATTTTTTTCTTTTTTCTTTTTCATATTGTAGAATTACAAACATTTTTAAAAATATTAAACTTTCTTACAAGGAAGAAATTACTTGTAGGTTGACCTTTAGTGGGTTACTGAAAAGAATTTAATGTCTGAAGAGGTTGGGGAGATGATGGTGGTTTATGATGATCCTTCAGACCAAAGATCATTGTCTTTGGATGATACCAGCAGCACAGAGGAATCACCAGATGAGACCAGTCTCTCTCTAGATACCACAAATGATGCTATCCCGTATATTGGGCAAAGATTTGCTACTCATGATGCTGCTTATGAATTTTATAGTGAATTTGCGAAGCGATGTGGCTTTTCAATCCGGCGTCATCGCACAGAAGGAAAAGATGGAGTTGGCAAAGGACTTACGAGACGGTACTTTGTCTGCCACCGTGCTGGAAATACTCCTGTCAAAGCATCAAATGAAAATAAACCCCAAAGAAATCGAAAATCCTCAAGGTGTGGATGCCAAGCGTACTTACGGATAAGCAAGACAACTGAACTAGGAACACCCGAATGGCGTGTCACGGGTTTTGCTAACCACCATAATCACGAACTCTTAGAACCAAACCAAGTTCGTTTTCTACCTGCGTATCGCACCATATCAGATACGGACAAGAGTCGAATCCTCATGTTTGCCAAAACAGGAATTTCTGTGCAACAGATGATGAGGCTTATGGAGCTTGAGAAGTGTGTAGAGCCTGGATACCTGCCATTCACAGAAAAGGATGTTAGGAATTTGCTTCAATCATTTAGAAAAGGGGATCCAGAGGATGAGAGCATAGACTTACTAAGAATGTGCAGAAACATCAAGGACAAAGATCCCAACTTCAGATTCGAGTTTACTTTTGATTCAAACAACAGGTTGGAGAATATTGCCTGGTCATATGCCTCATCGATCCAGTCATATGAGATTTTTGGCGATGCAGTGGTGTTTGACACAACACATCGCTTAAATGCATTTGACATGCCACTTGGAATATGGGTTGGAATAAATAATTATGGCATGCCTTGTTTCTTCGGCTGTGTGCTTCTACGGGAGGAAAGCTTGAGATCATTCTCATGGGCCCTGAAGGTAAAAGAGTGAAAATAATAATTTTTGTAAACCAACTTGTCAACTTATTCTGCACATGTGATTGAATTTTACCTTGACTGCTTATTCACCCACCTCTTCTGTGGTGTAACATCACTCTAACCTGTAAAAATAGAAGCATGGAATTGCAAATATCAAATTGTATAGATAGAATGAATAGACTGTCATTTAGGGTAGAGTTCACATAGTAGATGGTTTCAACCAGCTAGTTAGGTTTAGGCCATTGACAAATTCAATGGCGGCTGATTAATTACATTTTTTCAGATGGTGAACTTTGTAAGCTATCCTTTGTAAAGTTTCATTATGTTGGAAAGTAATACCCACTAAAATTTACTTATATATAAAATAATAAAAATCCACTGCATTTCAGCTCTCATTGTTTGAAGTTTGGTTCCTCTCAAATGAAAATATCTCAAGTAAGTGTACATGTAGCTTTCAAATGTAACCATGGTCCATCGCAAACCCTACCCAAAAGGTCCACTATTTGATGGGTCTCATTTAATTTCTATAGGTATTAAAACTGTCCAGGTCTTAGTTATAGTTTTCTTTAATTAAAATTTTGAACACTATTGACTGCAGCACACTTCGAAAAGATATGGGAAAGATATGATAGTTTTGGATTTTATAGTCAAGGTAATAGACTGATTGGTGCCCTTATTTAGCTGTTCATGGTTTCTTTTCTTTCCTTCTTCTTCTTCTTCTTCTTCTTCTTATTTCATTATTATTATTTTTTTCATATGTATATTTTATGCATGCTGATCTGGTGAGATCAAAGACAGTGACTGAGATTCATGAATATTAATCCAGCAGGAGCCAAACTCACTTTAGAATGGCAGGGAATTGGAAAATGGGCATTAAGCATATATCCTTTCAGTTTTATTAATTGTTCCCAGTTCAAAATGGATTTAGATTTTTTTTTTTTTTTTTTCAATATATGCAGTCGAACACTTTGTGATGTATGTCCAGTTATATTGCACTCACAGACATACACATTCCTTTTCAATTAGTTCCACTATTAATGGATTGACGTTGATTCTGATACTCTATTTTGTACTGTAAATGTGGAAGGCATTCTTAGGGTTCATGAATGGGAAGGCTCCACAAACAATATTAACTGACCAAAACATGTGTCTCAAAGAGGCGATATCAATGGAGATGCCAACTACTAAACATGCACTTTGCATTTGGCTGATTGTGGCAAAGTTTCCGTCTTGGTTTAATGCTGTTTTGGGGGAACGCTACAATGAGTGGAAAGCTGAGTTCTATCGACTTTACAATCTAGAGGCATTTGAGGATTTTGAATTGGGGTGGACAGACATGGTCAATTCCTTTGGGCTACACACTAACAGACATATAGCTAGTTTGTATGCCTGGAGGTCGCTTTGGGCATTGCCATACTTGAGAACCCATTTCTTTGCAGGAATGACTACGACTGGCCAATCAAAGTCAATTAATGCTTTCATTCAAAGGTTTTTGAGTGCACGAACCCGGCTTGCACACTTTGTAGAACAAGTATGTTCTCCTTTCATATTTGTCTTAAATTGAACTACAATTGTATTTGTGATATTATATTATCTGTGCATGTGTATGTGTCTATGTGCACGATAACTGCAGCGCAGGTGAGAAAATGAGACATAATTTATCTACTTTGGTTTGTCTTAGGAAAAATTGGGCCAGATCCGAATTAAGTTTGCCTCAAAAGTATTCTAGTACATTCAGGTCAGCTTGAGTCATAATTGATGTGGATCCCATATAGACAATTACTTGGATATCCTCACAACACAAGCCACAAGGTTTTGTATCGTCCTTGTAAAGCAATTCAAGTTGTAAGTTTGATTCAAAAGTAACCAATGATGATTTTTTATAGAAATGATGTACTCTTTCTTTTAGTAAAACACCACCTCAAATATTTATTCAAGTGTGTGCTTCATCATTTGAGATCTTATTTCTCTTTTTTTTGGTAGATACCTGTCTAGAATTCTATTAGTAACAAGATAATGAAAGAGCATTTTCACTGCACGATAGAAACTCTGTTCAATCTACAAATATGAGTTGTTCATTATTGTTCACTTCAGAGATCCTAATTGGCTATTAGAATTTAAACACAATCATTATAATTCAGACGGGAGTTAAATTTAGATAATTTTTAAAAAATGAATGTGGTTGTTGATAGCTTATCATTGTCTATTCTTGTAATAATTTTCTTGAGTGGCAATTTTTTTTGTTTTTTGCAGTACTACTTGGGAGGCGGTTTTGTTTGTGTAAAGAAAGAGAACAATACAATTAATAATTTACTAATGTTATGTATATGTCATGGAAACAAGCACATCATGTCCTCACTTGCAAGCCAAGCAATATCTCTAGGTTGAATCAGTACATATTTCCCTCTACGTCACATTGGATGTTAGCTGATCAGCCCCCTTATTCTCTTGCCAACAGTTTTGATGTGGAAATTGCATTGAGTCTATATTTCATAAGCAATCTGCAGAAACTGCAATTCGTAGCTTCAAAAGTCCACATGTGGCAGCCTTTTCTGAACTCTTTCAATTAACAACTCTGGATCCCCCTAAACCTTTAGACTGATTCCTTTCAATCACGATTGATTTGCTTATCATTACTTCCATTTGATGTTAAATTACTGAAAGCTATTTAAACAACATTGATCACATCTTGAGAGTTTTTTGGAGACCTGAAGATGGGCTATTAATGGGAGTCACCTCTTGTTGGTATTAACATAGTTTAACAACCAAATTTTAGTGTGCCAATTTTTTTTTATATAAAAGAGACCGTAAATCTTTAGTGTGTTAAACTACTCTCTACTAATAATGACTTTGGCTTGCACAAACAGGTAGCGGTTGCAGTGGATTTCAAAGATCAGGCAGGTGAACAACAAACGATGCAACAGAATCTCCAGAACATTTGCCTCAAAACTGGGGCTCCCATGGAATCCCATGCTGCTGCAGTCCTTACACCTTTTGCATTTTCTAAGCTTCAGGAGCAACTTGTTTTGGCTGCTCACTACGCATCATTTCAGATGGATGATGTCTTCCTAGTGAGGCACCACACTAAACTTGAGGGAGGCCGGAAAGTGTGTTGGGTTCCTCGCGAAGGCATCATAAGTTGCAGCTGCCATCAGTATGAGTTTTCTGGAATCCTGTGTCGGCATGCTCTTCGAGTCCTCTCAACAGGAAATTGCTTCCAAATACCAGAAAGGTATCTTCCCCTCCGTTGGCGTCGCATAAGCACTTCATCTGCAAAGCTTTTTCATAGTACTCCAACTGATCATGCAGAAAGAGTTCAGTTATTGCAGAGTATGGTATCAACTCTTCTAACAGAGTCCGCCAAGTCAAAAGAGCGGCTGGATATTGCAACCGAGCATGTTTCCATCCTTTTATCTCGGATAAGAGATCAGCCGGTTTCATCACAAGGTATGAGGGATATCTCCCCCGTCCATAGGAATCTTTGATTAGAGGTGCTGCCTTAAACCATTCATTCTTTTTAGAATACTAGGTGAAAGTGGAGAGAAACATGTGAAATGTGGTGATGAGAGTAAATCGAGGGATTATGTAAAGCTAGATTTAGGGGATGGGGTTTATTTTTGTAAAGATTGGAAGTTGGCTTGTGGTGGAAATTCCATGCATGACATTTTTGTAGTTTCGTTGCATGCTATGACAATTATACAGGGTGTTCTTCCTCAGACATCATTGACCGAAGATTTAACACGGAGATTAATATGTAAAGTAATTACTGAAAAGGATATTATTTTTTTGTTCCCTCTGTATGTATGCCCAACAGTCCAAGCATTTGTGTTTGGAAAAATCTCATTAAATTCATCGTGAATATGGAAGAATGTATTTACAGTGCTTTTGGTTGTGTTTTTCGGGACGGACTCTTTATTTTTATTTACTAAATTCTTCTTTTGCGTGTCAAAATTAGTATATCCTTTCTGTTTCAAGTGGCTAATTATCTTTGTTCTCCCAGTGGTTGGCTGGATAGCCCAGACGGTGTTTCGTGTTGCTAACCATGTTCATTTGCTGACTGGCAAAGTCTGACTATTTGCTTTATCAGGTATAATTGTATTAGTTGATCTGCTTTCTTAGGTATTTGAACAGTACTTGAGATGTCCTTTGGAGGCTTCGAAGGAGAACAGTTCTAAAATCTCACGGCAATGTGCTATCGTGGCTACAATTTTGGTGGTGTTATAGAATGAGAGAAATTATATACTTTGACAAAAGGGTTTCCCCACTTGAGGATATCGGGAAAGAGTTCAGTTTTGTTAAAATAACTGCCTTTATCCTTGATTTTGAGTAATTGTAGAGCAGTGAGTCCACATTGGCGAAGAGTTCAGCTTTCCATAATGTTTGAAGGCCAGTAACAGTTGTTCGCTTGGTCAGAGATGATGCTGGGAATATGGTTGTGTCTATGATGGTACTTGTTTTGCTATTTGGTCGAAGATTTGTGCTCAATCGGGAGGCACAAGGTAAGCTTTTTTCAGTAATTTGAATCATTCTACTTTGTATATGAAAGGTGATTCAGATGTGATGGTGGGAATGGTGAGATCATGACCTTGAGGGAGATTATGGTTGACGGAGATCATCATCATCATCACCATATTCGTTTGTGACTATAGCTAATGCGTGAGGGAGATTATGGATTTTCGTATGATCCTTTAGATGTAGAAATTTGTTTGATCCAAGGTTGGCCTAGGAGCTAATTCATCTTCCCTTGTGGGGAGGCGGTTAAGTGTCTCCTGTCAATAGTTGTTATATTAACCTCGTCTCTTGTATGGTACATGTGTAGCTGTAATCTCCCCCCTTTGAGAAGTTAAATTGCTTCTTGCTTGGTATACTGCATTTTCTAATCGTCATTTTAGGTTATATTCTGTTAATTGCTTATATTATACTTATTCATCTATTCATATTATGTTATAGGGCAAAGTACAGAAAACCCCTCCGACTTGTAATATTTTTAAATTTCACTTGTCTATTTTTTTTTTACCAAAAAACCCCTCTCGACTTGTAGCCTTTTTTCCAATAAATCCCCCTTTTTCTAATTTTTTTACCAAATAACTCCCTTCAACTATCTGAGGGGGGTAAAAGAGTTGATATTTGGACCAAAACGCCATTTTATTTAAAATTTAATTCTCCCGAATTTCAAAAATTCATATCTCACAAACCGTACATTTAAAAATTGTAAATAATATATGCACAAAAAATTTATGAAATAAGTATTCCAGAAATATAAGATTTATATAACAAACCTTTCATAACCAGAGAGAAATAGGCAATCTAAAAATACTCGAGATATTTGCAAGAAAATTTTCAGAATTATTTATTTACATATGGAGCCGAATATATAAAAAATTTAGCCCCAACAAAGATCAATTTAATGAGATATCATATTTTGCATCAAAATATTTTCATTCCTTTATAGACTCACTATTTAAAAAATAACTAAAAATGAATATTCAGTCTCTATTGGGGCTAATTTTTTTATATGTTATGCTCCATATGAAAATGAATAATTTTAAAAAAATTCTTGCAAATAACCCAATTATTTTATAAAAAATAAAATAAAATAAATTGTTGCAGTAGATTTTTAGGTTGTCGATTTCTCTCTGGTTATGAATTTTTGTTAAACAATATATTTTTGGAATCCGTGTTTTATAAGCTTTTCGTGCATATATTATTTGCAATATTTGGATGCACAGTTTGTGAGATATGAATTTTTTAAATTCGAAAAAATTAAGATTTAAATAAAAGGGCATTTTAGTCCAAATATAAACTCTTTTACCCCCCTTAGATAGTTGAGTGGAGGTTCTTTGATAAAAAATTAGACAATGAAAATTTATTGGAAAGGGTTACAAGTCGATGGGGGGTTTTTTGATAAAAAATTAGACAAGGAGAGTTTACCGAAAAAGTCTATAAGTCAGGAGGGGTTTATTAAAAAAGGCTATAAGTTGGGAGGATTTTTCTGTACTTTGCCCTGTATTGTGATTTAAGGTAGCATTGTAGGTTGGACATGATGTAAAGAGTGCTCGGTCAAGTAACTAGGGATGGCAAATTTGTGAATTGCTTCTATATTCCCTTCGATTCCTGTTTCGCATCCACTGGATGAGTCTGCTTGTCAGTAGCAACACGAGAACTACACTGATATGGCTCACTTTGAGGAATTACATTAGATTGATTTATGGGAGCAAGAACAATGTTATATTTGGAAACACTAAATCGGTGTCTTGAATTTGTGATTGAAAAAAATTTAGTTAAAACTTACAATTTTTCCAATCCCAAATCCGAGACAGCGTCAATTCGGTCGTACCAAAACAACATTTCAAATAGACATTGGTTCTAAAAATTGCCTGCAAATCTTAATCTCAATATAAAATACACTGATCAAAACAACGAAACGAATTAAAAGTATCTACTGTAGTAGACCCCAACTATAAAAAAATACAGTAATCATCTGTGTATGGCTCATCCAAGCTGATTTCAAAACCAAAATTCACAATTTTTTTTTTTTTTTTTTTTTTTTTTTCATGGCATAAAAATTAGAGCTTGAAGTAGCTCTAGATAATGCAAACTCAAAACATCGGTTCCCTGCAATTCTCTTTCTTTTTTCTTTTTTTCTTTTTTTCTTTTTTTCACATAAAGCCAGGTGCACATCCAACAACCATGAAAATGCAGATGACAGAAGAATCATAATGATAATTCAAGCTACCACCAAAATTAACACATCAATATGCTAATATGATATCAATCATTCAAGGAGAACCTGCAAATTAGCTTAAGCACAAAAGGAAATATCAGGAGGAGATATCGAATATATAGCAAACTACGACGATGTCTATTAAGCAAACGAGTTGATAAAATAATATGCCTCTCTTCACAATCCTGATATCTAGCATCAAGAACACATCCACTTTTCGAACATTTGGTTTTGCTGTGAGGTCTGTTCTGAGAAAAAGTTGGTGTGCCAAAAGATAGGACATTTGCACTATATGTACATGAACAAGAAAGTTACCTACTTCTTCAATAGAGGAATTCAGGCAGACAGTACCCAAAAGGAGAGTCATTTTTTCTTGGCTTTTGATCCCATCTTCAATGAGACTACATTTCCTTGTTTTGAGTCATCTTCCAAACCATATATTCTGATACAAAAGGAGTAGTCTGGCTCCCGTCATTATAACAATGACATTAAGAGCTTTTCCGTTTCCCAACTTTCCGCTTTCCAATTGTGACCCTTGACTTATCTTCGTCACTGCTACTTAATTCAATAAATTGAAACTCTGACGCCTCCTGGTTTCCCTTCGATTCCTGTTTCGCATCCACTGGATGATTCTGCTTTTCAGTAGCAACAACATTAGATTGATTTACGGGAGCAAGAAAAATAGGCTGCTGTGGCAGTTCTTCAACAGGAGATGCTTTGAAGCTGTTCTGCAGGAGGACATCATGTTGAACCTCAGGAGCCAAAATATGAGTTTCTTCAGACAGTTCGTCAGGAGCAGATGCGTTATGCTGCTTTCCTGTTAAAAATAGGAAAACATATAAGATTTCCTTCTCTTTCACAGATAAGCATAAAAACATGGGTGCAAATTGCAAAAACTGAAACTGAAATTATAAAAGGTGAAGACCAAATTAACAAATTCTGTGTATTTATGAACATGGACACAGATATGGGATACCGATATATGGTGATGCAACAAAAATTTCAAAAACAGGATATACGTACGGCGACAAAGGGTAATATATGTATCTACAGATATGCATATGATATATATATATATATATATATATATATATATATATGTATGAATGAATAAAAATTAGGATGTATAAATCAATCTATGTATAAATTTAAAACAATAATTATCTGTCATATTATACAAAATATTATGATTAACAATCTCGTGTAAAAAGGTTTTGACAAACAAGTAACTATTTTGAATCTATGAAATATTCAATATTTAGGTCATTGGTAAAAACTTAGACTGACAAGCATAAAGACACGGGTCTAAGTTTGGGAGTAGTCATTTTTTGTAAAATAATGACAAACAAGTAACTCTTTTGAATCTATGAAATATTCAATCTTTATGTCATTGGTAAAAACTTAGACTGACAAGCATATAAAGACACAGGTTTAAGTTCGAGAGTAGTCATTTTGTGTAAAATAACGCCAAAGGTTATGTATGTCTTCAATCTCTCATCCAAGCACTAGTCATTCTCTGTAAAATAATGCCAAAGGTTATGACTGTCTTCAATCAATCATCCAAGCACCCCAAATAGGCAGGACCGACATTGACTAATGGATTTTCTACCAAATGTTTTGTATTTTGTTTATAAAATATATATATATATATATATATATATATATATAATTATGTTGCATGCATCTGAATTTGAACTGAATTAGACATGATACATTTTCATGAAAACTCAAATCTTCTTCTCTTAGAAGTGATAAAGTCCAAAAATACGAAACCTTTGTTATACTTTCCTAACAATTATACTATGATAGTACACTAAAAATGTTGTATTTTTATTTTCAAGACTTGTCAGTCGTGTCTATTGGACAGATGTTTGAGAAAAAAAGTATTTCCACATTATGGATATGTTTAGAAGATATTGGACAATGTACACATAAGTTCTAAGGAGTAATGATATTCAAAATAAATAAGACTCACTTGTAGAACTATCCGTGCTTCCTATGTGTGAATCCAATTACAGTCCAAAAGTGAGGCATAAAATAAAGCTCATGATCCCCAACTACATCATGCATAGGCATGAAAGGTGAGAGCCAGAGTTGGTGAAGGGGTTCTATGAGTATGGTGGTGGCAAAGATGTCCTACTGAAAATGGTGAAGTGTCAAAGTTTATGAATAAGCAAACAAGTAGTAGGCTTGTTAATGATGCTAACTGAATTTATTTGTTAATCTTTTTATCTGTATTACCTAAAAAAGATGTCAAAAGACATAGGGCGCCCTAATTAGGATAAGCAAACAATGGGGCTGTCTGTCAACAGGTCATATCAACATTTAAATCGGACCCAATTAAGATTTGATTACTAATTGGAATAAGTGTGGGCGGTTCAAATCTGAATTTAAATCACAATATTCAAGCTATAACAAAATAAAATATGGTTTTAGGTAAGATTCAGCCAAATCTAATTAAATTTTTTTCATAGGACAAGAACCAAATTATAGAGAAATCAATTGATTTTACTCCATATTTTCTACAGGTCTAGTTTAACTTTATGTGGAATCGACATAATGCCATTATACCACTTGAAGTGCTCTATTTTGTTTTCTCATATGATAAATTCCATCTCGTTGCACCCAAAATCTTTTACTTTTAGGATGTCCGAAATGCTGATATATTAAATTTTGGCAATTATTTGTGTTAATAACTATGTTTCCTCTAAATATCTCAAAGGTGCATTCAAAATGTGGAATACAACAAGGAACCATTCCATTTCCACCGGAAGTCTAAACTTGGCTCTGAGTGAAAATCCTTTGATTTAGATTTTAGTGTTTACGGCATCTAATATTTTACTTCCATGAAAAGACAGGAAAATACTTATAAAAATAAATAAAATGAAAAGACAGGAAATAATGCATACTTATCACAATTACATAATTTCAGGCACATTGTGGAAAGAAAGGAAGAAAGTTTTGCAAAAAAAAAAAAACACCTAAAATTAGTCTAAAATTGTAGCCGGAGTGGTTCTTCATGGAAATAAAGGAGAGTAGTTGAGCGTACCAAACATAGAGCATCAGTTTACCTGAAGAAGTTTTGTCTTCCCTATTTTTACTCTGAGTTTCCAAACTCCCCATGAGGATTGATTTTGGCGAGCCTTCATCTCCTTGCATATCATTTTTAAGAGTGCCTTCAGCAATAGGTTCAAACCAGGTTACATCTGGAATCACCTTGGGAAGCTTTTGTAGCAACCGTAACTGTTCCTCTGGTCTCTGAAGCCGCTCTCTTCTCTCCATGTATTCATAAAGCGTAAAAACCATGAAGGTTAAGGACTAAAAGACACTTTTATTGGAGAATATATCACCTCATATGTGTTGAATAAAACACATGCACGCACATGAATAGGTGCGAGCGTGCATGGGTGTAAATGCACACAGACAATGGTAAATGGACACTGATGATGTGTGACCACAAAGAAAAGATCACGTGACCATGAAGGTTAAGGACTAAATGACTCTTTTATTAGAGAATATATCGCCTCATATATCCTGAATAAAACACATGCACACACGTGAATAGGTGTGAGTGTGCATGCGTGTAAATGCACACAGAGGTAAATGTACCCTGATGACATGTGACCACGAAGAAAAGACCAAGGCCTACAGATATTTTAGAAGTGTACATCACTAATCCGTACAAGGCATATTTAAATGGCATTTGAACAGGTCGAGTTAGTCTATATATTTGAGAAGTTTTATTGTCTATATGCTTCTAAACACTAATTTTATTAACAAAATGAAATTTTATTGTCTATACTCTTTAGCACACTAAATTTATTAACTAGATGAAATATTACACCATTGGTTAAATCAATGAACAGTTTGAGCTGGTTCAACAATGCTTCCTTTAATCAAGTAACACGAGTTGATGTCCCTGTATAAATTATAGCCTCTGCACTTGCCAATCCCTGACTCAGCATTACATGAATTATATCACAAAAGGATATTTGTTTCTCCATCCTTTCTCATTTGCTTGATCAATGAGGTGTTGTAATAATGCCAGCTCCTTGACAATCCACTGACAATTTTTTATTTTTTTTTTCACATAAAGGAAAGAGGAAAAGAGAAAATCAAAAGCAAGCATCAGATACCCATAAGTTGACATTCTTCCATTGAATTGCATAGTAATCAAGTAAATTATCAGCACATAGATTGGACTGCAATAAGTAAGAAAGAAATTCATTTGTTAAAAATCAGAATAAGATCCTATTATAAGCACGCATGAAGAGACACAGCCACATAAATAATCTGAAAGGAAAGGCCACACTTCAATTGTGATGCATAAAGTTGAATAATTGTAATTTTGACACAATTAACCTATTTAAAAGATGTAGTTCAAACTCCTAAAGATCTAGCTTGATCATCTCCGAATCTGCATAAAAAGTATTTATAACATATCGCTATGCTCATCTTTAACAGCCTCAGCTTTTAGAGCAGCAGTTATTGCCATTGTTTTACTGCAGGAAGGATTTCTCCTTGAATCTCGTTCTTACCATAATATAGTCACAAGGCTAACCCATTCATGGCAGGCCACAAGTGAAGGGAAGAGTTGATATATATGCTTATGCTCCTTACTAACATCTTAATTCTACAAGTAATTGATTGATAAGATAGGAGGGAAGACTAAAAAGAGAAAAATGAAAAAAAAAAAAAAAAAAAGGAAGATAGATTTGGGTATAATGCTCTTATACCATGACGCAACCACAATGGAGAGAAGAAAAAACTATGAGAGAGAGAAGGGGCTGTATCCTCAATTATATACAAGAAACTCTGATTTGAATGAACGCTTTTGAAGAGGCTGATATGACATATGAACCAGACATACTAGGAATGCATTAGTGCTTTGTTACTTGTATTACAATTCTTATTTTTAAAGAACAAAGAGGACAACGTAATATAATACTCGTTACTTGTATGTAAAACTGAAGTGGGAATGCATACGTGCTTTGTTATATCCTCATGCAGACTTATGGCCTTCTCTTCAAGCTCCACCTGTAAAACAAAATATTTTTGTTAACAGCTTTTGAAAACCATTATTGTAATCCATGCAGACTAGTTGAAAATTTTCTCTAAGACCTATTATTATTGAGTTCGAATCATTACATAACTATATATAGGCTTGTTAGTAAACCTAGCTGTGAAATGAACTGAATTTTTCATTTATAAACAATTTTTTCATAAGATTTCATCAAAAGGTGCTCAAAGGGGGAGCGCAGCGAACTACCAACTACACAAGCCAAGAAGCTATAACCTCAAGCTATCCACAAAAGATAATAGAATCTCAGAATATTTACAGCACCTCCCATTTACCCAAAAGAATAAAGAGCTATGTACAGAGAATTTGACCACCCCTATAGGAGACTCCACCCCCATCAAAAGATCTCCTATTTCTTTCCCTCCATAAAGCCTACCACAAGCAAAGGGGGGCAGCACTCCACACATCCCTAGCATGGAGCCCTACAGAACATCATCTTCAATCTTTGATAAAGCTCTTTGCGGATTCCGGCATAATCCGCTGAACCCCAAAAATAGCACAAGGCATGCCACATCTGTCCCTAGCCAAGCTGCCAAAGGGCAATGCACGAGGAGATGATTCACCAACCTCTCATGTTACATAAACAACGCCATTGCAGACTTTGACTAGTAAAACTGACATAACTCTATTAAAAAGCCACGCATAAATGCCTAATACTACAAAATGACCCCAAAGAAGACACTATTACATCCCATGTCCAAAAAATCCAAGAAATACGAAAATATCATTCAATCTTAAATTTTAAGATAACATATATAATATAAAACTGAAAGCAAAGTTAAAAAAATCCAAAAAAATAGAACTCAAACTTAATAACGAGAGCTCCCAAGTGGGCCCACATCATCTAACAGGTGTATAATATAGTCTTTAGAAACATATTTTCCATGCCTTCTATACACTGTATGGGTGATACCACTTGTTTCCATCATATAAATTTGCTTCTTTGAAATCACTCCTCCAGGATTCTAGGTGTGATTCCTAGAGTTCTGTTCTGCTTTTTCTTCTTTCCTCTTTTCCTAATTTTTAACACTTTCAATCCTTCAAAACCCTAAAAACTGGATCGGTAATAAGCCTTTAATTATCCTTAAAAGATCCCATTTTACATGCTTAATTTTTTACTTCTTTCAACTATAGAATGGTAGGACCCTAACTAACACAAAGAGCCCTTGGTTGCAATTCAAGGATATTAAAAATAGTCATAAAACAGCCCAAAAGTTTTCCTTTCCTTGCCTCGTTAGAACCCAGAAATAGATCCTTTTCTACACCAATACAAACCCTGAAAATCCTTATCTTTACCAACCCTTCAGGCACCAAAAACTTGTTACTATTGGCATGAAAAATCCCCTTGTAACTCATTAGTGCTACCATCCATAATTTACTCACTTGTCCAACATCACCGAATTGTTGAAGTAGATGTGAATGCTGTGGCAACGCTTTATGCATACCACGCATAAGATTGTCTTTTTATTTTTTTTTTAACTAAAACTCAAATTCAGAAGAATAATATTTAAAACTTGGTCTAGCTTGACATAGAGCAATGCGTTCCACATACGTCACAGTTAGAAATTTTGTGATTGAAATGACATTATTATGCGATTCACATGCAGTTCCTTAGTGGGAGCACCTATCATGGATTTAGAGTTTTAAATGTTTAGGAGTCAGATAATGTATTGGTTCCAAGTTCCAACTAAGGGCAGTTCAACAATTTGTCAAAAGTAAAGCAGTATTTTCAAAATTTTCAAATATTTTGGCAGATCTCCAAATTATTTGTGTTTGCAGATATCATAATAATGATCATTTCTCTTCCACAGTAACTTCAAAGATAGATGCTGCCTCTGCGAGGGGAGGGAGCAACTTGTCTGTTCATACAGTGCACTCATTCCCGTTACGAAAATGAAATGATGCCCCAGCTCAACTCGAGACCAAGACTGCGATGCCAGAGATTGATTAGAAAGCCAGCCCAGCCCTTTAGTGATTGGGATAAAGAGCATAAACTGGACGTGATAAAGAACATAAACTGATTGTGATAAAGAGCATAAACTTAGACACCAGAGAGTGATTATTATTTTTTCACTTTTTTTTTTTAAGAAACATCAAATTGCTTATGTAAGAGAGAACTTACAAGGGTGGGCCTTTTCAGCTGGCCGCTTTTCACTTTTTGTCTCAAATCTTCGCATTCTTCCTGAAACAAGACATCACACAAGAAAATACATGTCGCAATTGAAATGGCATATGAAAATTTCTCCGAACTCTTATTTATTAAAACAATTTAACTTATGATTGATGGGATTATGTTTGAAACTATAGCAGCACATTTGGAACTAAAGAATCTCTGTGATATGGTAGACAACTGCACAATTCAGTTTGATGGTAACATTTGTGTTCTCTGCTTAAATCCTAATACATCCATGACAATCTGTATCCATACAAATATCACACACAGTTATCACTTTAAATATGATTAACATTCTTTATACAATTTCTCAATCAGTTTTGCAACTAATAATGAAGTTCACTGTTCACTTAACTGAGACAGTTAAGAACCTATAACAATTAGAATCAAGATTGACGCCCAAGTCAACCACTACCCAGGGGAATATATATATATATATATATATATATATAGAGAGAGAGAGAGAGAGAGAGTCCAAAAAGAACATAAGGTATGGTATCCAGTATCTAAAACTTCCACAAGGATCAAAAGCTCATACCAAATTCCTTTTTCTCTGAGGAATTTGGAGAAGCATACGTACACATAAGAAAAAGAGTCAAAAAAGTCCCTAATTTTTTTTTGAAGGTAAAACAAATCGGGATTCATCAGTCACTAGGAGATTCAGCACCGTAAACGTTATTGATGCTAGTTGTATAGGGACTGATATCAGCACTGCATTATGAGATTTTGTTTGCTTCACCAATCTCACGAAAAAACTTTAGTTATTAGAATTGGTGGAGTAAGAGGAAAATGAAAAAAGAGGAAAACAATATACTTGGCTGGGGTCAATATCACTAGAATCCAATGTCACAAACAGGAAATAGGAAAGAAGGGGAAAGAAGACCAATTTCTTAAAACAATGTGATTACCTCAGATAAGTCATCATCCGACAGCATGCAGATGCGAATATCTTCTGGCATATTTGATATTTGCAGGAGAACCTCTGTATTATTTTCACCACTGGAAGCCTTCTTTATGCCTGGGGTGATACCAAAATACCCCCACACACACATGCGCACACGCGCGCGCGCGCACACAAAAACAGAAAACAGAAAACAGAAAAATAAAAGGAACAGAAAAGGTAACATGTTAGGTTTCTGATAAAATATATATGTGTGTGTGTGTCAAGAAACTTTTATCCGAAGAAAATCACCCAGACAACAATGAAAAAAAAGATTTCATTTCTCTGCAGAATAATATAAATAATACAAATAAACTAATTAAAGTAAACCTAAAATGATCACAACATTTTGTCAAAGTCAATAGGACTTTAATTGGAGTTTAAATTATGTTTTCGGAACAGTGTAATTAAGTTTTTTGTAGTGATATATGAAGTTTATTACATTATGTTCTCCATTCTTTTACTTGGGTTTTATTTTGCCAATTTTGTGATTGAGGAGGGAGAAAGCATACATGATTTATTTGAACTTTAATTTGACACAGGCTTGGATACTTGATACAATTGACAAACTTGATCAACCTTGTTTGATTACATGTTATGTTTGTATTGATATTTTTTGATAAGTAATTACGTTTGTATTGATATGCATATATCAAGGGGGAGCAACATTGTTTTATATATATTTTTATGTGTGATTTATGATTATATCTCAAATATTGATATGCGCAAGTAGAGTTGCATTTTTTTTTTTTTTGCAGCATATATCAATAATTGTAGTGAAGTTCAAGTGTTCAAGCCACAAAAAGAAATTTAGAGTCTTTTTTACTTTTATTTCTAATTTAATATTCAGTTTTCATATGTTTTGTCACAAAATTGCAAAAAGGAGATATTGTTAGGTCAATAGGACTTAGGTTGGCATATTTCATGATCAAACCTATAGTCTGTAATTTTATTTATTTATTATTTTTTTAGTTTAATTATAATTTTGAAAGTTAGTGTCAAGTAACATACCATTTGAACATGGTCATAGATGATATTCAAGCTTCAACCAAGGGCAAAAATGTAAATAGACACCACCATGCAATCACCAAAAATTAGGGGATCTGTGTGGATAGATTGACCTCTTCTCTGATAATTTACCCATTTGGTAAACCAGTTTCCTTTTCAGATTAACACTCTAAAATCCTATGTTTGTTTATATTTTATAAGTACTCTATTATCATAGAAACCCTATGACACACAGACTATATAGAAAAACACACAAGCTTGAGATATTTAAAGTAAAATTGAGTGGATTCAAATTTTTCTTTAAGCATTCATCAATTGCATTGGATTGGTCATTTTATATTAGTGTGTTGATATCATAATTGCCATGGAGTTGATTTGAGGATTCAACACCAACATACAATCAATCAACTAAGATTGGAATGGACAACTAGTTTAGAGATCCAAATAGCTATTAAAGAAGCCGATTCTGGAGGAACGAAGCCTGCAGACTCTGTGCGCGAGTTTTGGTGGATCAGCTTGTGACAATAGGTAACTAGGAATTTTGCACTTGCTGAACAGTTAACCTAGTGTAATATCTCTTTGTAATAGTGAATTTTGATCTAACTGGACAAAATCCCGCGATTTTGTTGACATCATAATTGCCATGGAGTTGATTTGCGGATTCAACACCAACATACAATCAATCAACTAAGATTGGAATGGACAACTAGTTTAGAGATCCAAATAGCTATTAAAGAAGCCGATTCTGGAGGAACGAAGCCTGCAGACTCTGTGCGTGAGTTTTGGTGGATCAGCTTGTGACAATAGGTAACTAGGAATTTTGCACTTGCTGAACAGTTAACCTCGTGTAATATCTCTTTGTAATAGTGAATTTTGATCTAACTGGACAAGATCCCGCGATTTTTTCCGTTAATGTAAGTATGAATTGTTGGTTTGTTTGCTAATATTCAAGAAAAAATCCTCCCCCCCCCCCCCAAAAAAAAAAAAAAAAAACTCTCTATCAGAGCCTAGGATTCTGGTCCTTACCCCCATCAAGATCCTTTTGATCCCAAAAAAAATCTAGGAAAAAATGCATAAATATCACTCATATGGAACTTTTACCCTTATCAGCAAGTCAACTCGGAATGAGTTCCTTTGCCAACACCTTTTGCCAACACCTGCATCATGTTCTAATCCTAATCCCCGCTAAAACATTAGGTTTTTACATTATAAAAGAACTGCCAAATCCACAAACCAGGTGATAAAGGACTTAAGGGTACTTCTCAGTCAAAAGGATCCAACACAGCATAGAATAAATGCAGCCACTTAGAGCTTGAAGCCATTTTACCAGAACTGGCCCCTATAACACTTGCTGGAGGCACGTGTCTCAAGGTTTTACCTTATATATCAATTTTAACCTCAAATTAACGGATTCTATCGCAGAAGTCTTAAATTAAGTTTTAAACCACTAAAGAAATGTATTGCGTTAATAGTTATTAATTTCCAAAAGTCAAATATGAAGTAACAAATTTTAATAATTATATATCACAAATAAATAGGAGTAATGACCACAATCACCATTGTGACAACTGCTAAGATGGCCTTAAACCCTACTGCTATACAAAAAATATTAAGCTAACTTGCCTAAGAGAATAATCTACCACTCTTCCAGTTCAATAATCTTAGTTAGAGCAAATGGTGCCTGGATTGCAGCGCAATTATAGAGAAGTAGATATCTCAAAACTTATCAAAAAGATCAGACAACAAGCATTACCAACCTGTGACTTGTGCCAGCTCATGACAATTTCTCCGACAATAATCATTCCGTTCTGATTTGACTCTCACAAAGCTTCCTGTTACCTGGCTTTCAAAAGTTTCAGGTCTCTTCATTAATTCTTTCACTAAGCTCCTCTTCAAGTAAACAAGCTTAATGTTTTCAGGGACAATGGACGCAAAAAAAGTTTGCTTAACATCAAACGGAACCTCATTTTTCTGAGATTTCTCCTTTTTCTGAGATTTATTATCTATACTTGGCTTTCTCTGCCTTTTACAGGCCACTGAGACGTTCTCCTCCTCATCTTCTGAATTGTATCCAAACTCATCCTCCTCTGATTGCACCAGGTTCTCAGCAAAATGGGCTTCCAAGATGTCATGTATTCTATGTCGGTTCACTGTTTTTCTCCCTACAACAAATTTTAGCCTTGCATCACATACAATCTTGTTCTTCTTCTCTGGGAGATAAAGTTTGTTTTCGTTAATGTATCTATTTATGATAGAAGTCACTTCATGATGCGATAATTTTTCGCCTGTGTCTTTACCAATTGATGCAAGAAATTGCATGAGACATTTCGACCCCCAACCAATAAATTCTTCATTTGGTTTTGCCTTTCTTCTATTCAACTGCTGCCCTTTGGATCTCTTTCTTTTGCTCACTGGCTTTTGTTCATCCATGTCATTCTTATCATCACAATCAGAAATTAGTAGACTATCTTCGCTTTTATTAGAATCATCTGAATCGGAGCTAAACTTACAGTTCTCATTCTTCTTCAACTGGGCATCTGCAGAATGGAGATTTTCCAAAGTCAAGCCTTCTTTTTCCTTGATTATATCCCAATATTCCATAAATAGGCCCTCAACAGTTTCTCGATCTTTGAAGTCTACCCTTTCCTGCAACAAGCATACAGGCATCAGACAACGTAGAGAGAAAAAGTCACAAAGCCTCCTCCCCCTCTGCTCCAAGAGAGGAAAACAAAGAACAATGAAAAAGTAACAAGAAACCCATCCAAGAATGGAACAAAGAACCCTCTGCAAGTCATTGAATGGGAGAAAGTTATGGCAAGCAAAATACTGAGGAAAGACATGGAATTAGGGATGGCAACGGGGGCGGTTTTGGGTGTGTGTACCCTCCCCCACCCCCGTTTAAATTTCCCCACCCAAAATCGCTTAAACAGGATGCCCTCCCACCCCATCCCCACTCCCAATTAACCTTTTTCATCCCGCAAGCACCCACCCTATTTACTCCCATATTTTTCCCCTGTTTCTTTTCCCCAAAATTCAACTATTGAGAAATTATTTAACAAAATCCCATTCCAGTATCAAAATCAAAATACCTCAATAATTAGTTGGCATCCGTTATAGTCTGGAAGACAAAGTTGATCAACAACATATCTCAAAGGAAAAATCTTTCTGAAGATAAACAAGCAACTGGGTAACAACTAGGAAGCACGAACACGCCTAGAAAGGCAAAGAATCCGTGTCGGACGCTCCAAAAAACGTGTCTGGATTTATTTATTTATTATTATTTTTTTTAATATTTTGGACACGCCATAGATATTTGGACACGGCAGGGACACGCCATGATTTTTTTTTTTTTTGATAAGCAAGGCACTAGGGGATTTTAAGAAAGTTTTAGAAAGAAAGTTAGGTTGAAGTGTAACTATGAGGAGTTGTTTAATAGTTTTCAATAATATGATCGTCATTATATAATTACTTAATACTTGTTGTTTTATAAAACAACAATCATATATTTATGCTTATATTTAGTTCAAGGGTTCAAACTCTTGCATATTTATGTTTCTTTGTTTTCTAGTCTTTCTTAACCTTCTTTCTATCATTCTCTCTTTTCCTCAGCAAATGACAATTTTTTTTTTTCATTATTAGGTTGATAAAAAATAATATTACTCTTAATTTCTTAAAATACAGCATCATATATATAAATATATATATTTATTATTCGTCGCCGTCCATGTCGTGTCGTATCCGTGTCTGTGTTTCTTAGGGTAACAATCAAAATTCGTGAAAATTACACAGAAATGAGATGAGGTCACAAAGATAAACATTCCAAAACTTCTAAAAAAGAAAACTTTAGCCCTAGATGAATCGGTGAGGTTGAAAAGAAATATAGGTGAAAAAAAAAAATTTACTAATGCATTTAGTAGATCGGTGAGGTTGACGGAAGGAGGAGGAGGACTCATGGAGAGAGAGAGAGAGAGAGAACTGAGCGTAGAAATGGGGCGGTGAAGTCACTGATAGAAAGATTCGCTAGTACATCGGCAGTCAGTGAGGTTGACGGCCTGCAACGGCGGTTGGTGGCTGTGTGGGACTGAGGAAGTGAGGCTGTGAGGAGAGGGGTCTTTGCTCTTGGGTCGGTGAAGTAGAACGGTTGAAGTGAAGACTGAAGAGTGATAGGCATTTAGGAATTAGGGCATCGTTATGTGTGTATGTATATCTATATAAGAGGGTAAAGAAGTAATTTAGTTGCCTAAACAGAGCGGGGCAACCCCAAACCGCCCCGCCCCGCCCCAAATCCCGCGGGTTTTCCTCTCTTAACCCCATCCCCGCCCAAATCCTATAAATGGGCCCCCAAAACCGGTTTAAATGGGGCAGAGCGGGGAAAATTGCCATAACTGCATGGAGTACTTGCGTCTTTGTTTTCTTCATTTTATGTGCTTGGAGAATGCCAATTCATATTCTGTACTAGCACATAGAGGCAACAATATTATTAAGTCAGCTCTTAGTGCTTTAATTTATCATATTATCAATCTCTCTGTGTGTGTCTGTGTGTGTAAACAGGTTTCCAACAAGGTATTTCTTTCTTAAAGACACGGAAACAATTTAAAAAAGAAACAAAAAACAATAATCAAGAAATTAATTTATTCTGAAAGGTAATATAAACTAAAATATATTCAAGATTGTAATTTACAAGCGCTGTTAGAAACTACCATACCCCATCAGAGTCAACGTCCATGTTTTCCTCTACAAGTAGTGCAAGCTTTAAACAATTAATGCAGAAACCTTTCTTTCCTCTAACATGCCCAAACTCCGAAACTGAGATGCAGCTTTGGCACACAGCATTTGGGCAGCAAAAACATTGAAATTTTGAGGTTCTGTGGCAAATGAAGCAAGAATGCCAATCTGAAATAGAAATTTGGTATCAGTTTGCATGCTATCAAATAAACTGTCTAACACAATAGAAACATGACTAAAGAAACTAATGGGATAACAACATAAAGCAGCAGGAATATATCTTTATTGAGTTATATATAAAAGCAAAGGTTCTTGATAGATAGAGGAATGGTGAGAGTCTGAACATACAAACAAAACTTGGAATGAGGTGCAACTTAGGTTGTCTAAGCATGATGCACTAGGCATATTTGTTATGATTTTACAGTAATTGGAAAACTACATTAGGTATTCAATTGGCTAAGAGAAAGGGAAAACATATCCCTCGTAACTACCAATATTGATTTGCATTTTTTATATGTGGAAGGTAGGACAAATTATGATCATTTGAAATTTAATGACGGAATATATTTAGGATTTTTTTCTTTCTGGGTAGGTGTTGGAATTCATTTAGGCATAATCCATTAAGTTATGTTCCTCGAGCTTAATGTATGCTAATTGAGCCATGCTTTACTTGGAAAGTAGAGATTTCTTTGGAAACAACAAAATTTTGTGCGAGCAACTTAACTCAGCTCAACATAGCCTTTTCCCAACAAAATATTGTGCAATATACACACACACACATATATGTAAAAGATCATTGTATATAAATTTGTGTGGCTTACTGCAAGTCCAACGGCTTCCAGTCTCCAAAAATGATTCATCCTTCCCCACGCATTCGGGATGATAAGCTTTTAGACACTGCCTGGAACCAGTAGATTGGATATTAATAACTGTTGGAAAATAACAAATCATGTTGAGATATGAAACAATATTCATTTTCTGCATAAAAAAATCATAAGAGATTTGGAAAATGGAAATTATAGATATTGCGAAAAAAATCAGAAACTTAAACAGCCTCACCAATTGCCCACCATAAATGACAGCATGCTATTGCGCATACATGTGCATTTGGTGTCACACAAACCTGGTTCACATAAATCATATGGTCTCGATATTGGGAAGACCTCATAAATTCAATACTTTATGGAGCAAATACAGGCAACTAAGAAAAGCAGGCCCCATGAGATGAGAGCAATTACAAGACATCGCAAATCCACCTATTAATTGGGCTCTTCTAAATTTTTGGATGCATATGTATGCTAACTAATTGGGCAGATTATAAGCAAGAAATGGAGCACCAACATTTGAAAATTAAGAAAATACTTGCAACTCACTTCAGTAATTTCTCTGTGTTTTGCTATTATTGTATATGTGATTGCTTTTTATCAAAGGACTTGTTGTCCCTTCTGAGCTAGAAATATGTTTTCTTTCAATAACATTTTGTTCTATATCAAAAGATAATGGAACGTATGCATCATCACAAGGGGATTGCATGAGCACTCACAAACAAAGGCAATAGTTATTAGTTACCAACACGTGTACTCCTTTAAGAGTAACCATTTGACTACAAAAGATGCAAAACTGTCATTCCTTTGGTAAGGATGCGTGCGAAGCAAACACAAACAGAAAAACTGAAAGGATGACAAAATAAGTGACAAACACAAACGTGGGGGGAAATTGCATTGCATTGTGCGTCAAGAAGATTACACAGCATGATCATTAACGAGGCGTAAAGAAGCATAATAGGAGTGGGTAAGAAAAGATCAATAGAGTATTATTTTGCAACTATTCTCGTCAGATCTATAGATGTTTGTTTTAAGTTGTTGCAGAAATCTATATAATGCAGCTGTTGAGGCATGTCGATGAGGAGTCGAGACACAGAATTGTAACTCTAAAAGCATCAAAATTTGGGTCCTAGAGTTCCCCTTTAACTTTCTTTTTTTAAAAAAAAAAAAATATTGTGTAAGGCGCCAGAAGAAGGTGAAACCGGGCAGAGTGGTTCCAAATAGAAATTACGAGGCAACTACAATTGCTTAATTATATGTAATTTTTACTCCAACCAAGAGGCAAATAACCAAGAAAGCTCCACAGCAGGGGAAGTGACTGAGATCAGCCTTCCTATGCCACCAAGAAAGGATAAGCACAGGCACCTTATGGGAGGAGCTGACTAGCTTTTTAACAGATGTAATGATGGCCTCCAATCTCCAACTGTGGCCAGAACTCCATGGACAAATACCATGTAACATAGGTGGAAAATGATTCGAGGCATTAAAAGAAAAGGAGTCCAAAAGGTGTGTGCATCGGCATGCAATCCATAAGCCTTCCGTGTCTTATTTGCATCAACATGGAAGGCTTATGCCTCACATATTTTTGCAGGGTTATTGTTCTTTTCCATGCATGGCCCATAGTTTAGGCTCCTTTCGATCACCAATTCCCTGAAGAGATAAATGTATATACTATAACTTCTTCATATGATTTGCTTGGCCCCTCTCAAATCACATCCCAGAGGTTGGAAGTTCGAATCCCAACCTCTGGGAAGTTCGAATCCCAACAGGTCACTCAAGTAATTTTACAGGTAACTATAATGGCAGCATGTGAGAATGCAAATTGCGGCTGGAAATTGCGGGTGGTGGGATTATGGGGTGTACTAAAAGGACAGACACCACCATTGTTGAAAAAAATAAATAAATAAACATGTATATGGGCATCCAATAAAGAATCCTTCTTCTCCAGAGTAATGCTACAAATAACGATCAACTTTATATGCAACTACAATAAATATCATCCAACATCTTGTTGGTATTAAATAAATAGTATCCAACATCTTGTCACTACTAAATAAAAATAGAATCTCTCACTATGGTTATGGATTGTCACATCAGTGCATAACAAAAATGGATGGGCAAGTTTAATTTTTCCTTTTTTAAAATAACAGATCAGTAGAAATGAGGGCAAACCTTGGCGCAACGATATAGTCATTCAATTGTGACCTTAAGGTCACGGATTCGAAAAACGAAAAGAGCCTCTTGCCCTGTCACCCATGCATTGGGTTTGCTATGTTTTTTTACAGATCATTAGAAGTAGAGAAATAAATTAAAATTGCAACTTCAACCGCAGCATAGGAGATGGAAAGTCATAATGCATGTTAGGCAATACACTATATCCTCAGCCACCAAGGTAACGTGTAAGGACCAGAATACCCTTCATTCTAAGAAACAGAACAGTATTCAAAAGATCAAATTTGTCAATAGAATAAAAAAAAATTGTCGTCTTCATCAAATAAAAACATGGGTTGCCCAAATCACTGTCCCCACTCTTCCATGCAAGCAAGCACTAACAGAAAATCTTGAAAATGTTAACAGAAAAACTCACTTGTAGTCGCAGACCATAAGCAATCCACCATCTTTGCAGGCAAAGCACCAATCCTCTGCAATTTCTTCCTTCTTTGGAACCTTTTTCGTCTTCTTCATCTTTTCAGCAAAGCTCTGGACTTCAATCACTTTCAAAACCCCAAAAATGCAATCAAGAACAACCAAGAAGATCAGAAAAGCTCTCTCTCTCTCTAACTCTCTAGTTTCTCTCTCTTAAAGAACAAGAATCAACTGTGTCTGCCCTTAAATGGAGGACTGTCCAAAACCCATTTGACAGATAACAGTAATCAGGGCATTGATGATTCAACTTCGAAAAATCAAGGACTACAATGCTCTTAGCGCGATTATCCAAAGACCCCACTGAGAAAAGTAACCAAAACACTGCCTCGGGAGTCTACAAGGAAAAAAATGCTGTGATGGGCATGGTTTAGGTTACATGTGTTCAATAGAGAAAGAATTGCAATGTGTTTGGGATTTTATTTCCTAAATCCGAAATTAATGCCTACAAATAAAATAATAATAATAATAATAATATTCTTTTAGTACTTGGATTAAGATATTTATTAAATTAGGGTTAAAATTGGAAAGATAATTAAGTTTTAAAAAAAAAATCTAAGAAAATTTATTTTTTAATGTGGAAAAGTTTAGAATGCACCAAACTTATAAGGAAAAAAATTGGCATTAATATGTTTTTTCTTGAAATAATTTTATGGATGTGGTGATTTAAATTTTTTTTTTTTTGCTGCCCAACCTTCAAAAAAAAAATTATTTCACTTTCTTTATTGTTATTTTCATTTAATCAAATTTATCAAAAATTACATCGTATTTATTCTCATTTAGTGCGCGTTGTTGTGAGTGGTGTCGCCCACCAAAACTGTTTCTAAGGTCGGTCCGATTGCTTCTACATAGAGTAGAGTCGAGACTCACACTCGTTTTGTAGCCCTGCAAAGTTTTTCGTACCGCAGTATGCATAGATTTTCTAATTAAATTTAAAATTCTAATATGGCTACAATAATTTCCATTTTCCTATTTAGATGTGATAATAAAAATCAAAATTACTTCATTAAACATTATTTTTATTTTTTATTTTTAAATATTTGACGTCATCACTAGACGTAATATTGTGAAATTTATTTTTACTTATCTAATATCATCCCGCAACTAGATATGCACGTTTTACAAGAAATATAGTTGGGATTTTACGAAACAGTATAGCGATTCTTCTAGACTGAACTATTATCACAATACCTATTGTGTGCGTTAGAAACGTGATAACACGCACAAATTACGATAACGATTGTAATGGAAGAACAGTGATAATACCCTAGAAACCTGAGAACACGCCAATTTATGATGAAGATTCGTCTGAAACGAAGAATGATTATGACTCTAAACCAGATACAACTCAGACACAGTAATCGAAAAATATTACGTATTTAGGAATCATATTTATTACTAAATATTCGCTTTACTTTCACTTAAATGTCGAAATCATATAAGTACGTGTTGTACACATGCTATTGCGTATTATTATTATTATTATTATTATTATATATAAACTGATGCATAGTGCACTTAATATCTATCAGTATAAATTACACTATTACTTATTTTATAGACACAATTCTTTTTGTAACGGTTACGATGCATTTCATCAACGAAATTTACATTCTAAGATTCTCTATTTAAATATTTACAAATTCTATGAAATAGTCCTATATTTTAAATTAATTTGAAGTCTTTTCTACAATCTATCCACTTCTACACTCTTCTCAATAATCTAAAATTCTCCATTCCTCTCTACCGTACTTTACAATCTCCACATAGTTGTGGAATATTATAGAACTCAACCCAACTCGTGTTATACAAAAAAACATGCAAAAAATTTCTTAGTGTTTACGTGTCACCTATGTAGCGTAATCTCTTTTCAATATAGAGAGTAACAACCGGAGTTAAAACCTTTTCAATATATATATATATATAATGGAAATTCCTCAACATTTGTGTGTTGCCTGTGTGGCACAAACCTCCTTCCTGGTAGTCGAGGTGTGATAATAAGAAATGAAACGACTCCAATGTAAAACTTTTTATTTTTTTATTTTTATTTTGTATGTTAGTTATTGTGCATCAAAACATTATTTTATTTAAATCCAACATGCGTTCAAAATAGTTCATTAATGTAACACCATATATAAATGAGAATGCTAAGATGGATGAATTAAGTGATTAAAAAAAATAGAGTTATTAATGAAAGTGTGGGAGAATAATTAGGTATAGTATCCATTGGTGATAAAATTTGTAAGAGTAAACTTAGATGGTTTGGACATATATATTGGAGACCTAGTGATGCGTCGTTCAAAAGAGGAAGATTAGTTGTAATAAAAGGTAGAAGACAGAGATAGGGGCCAAAAATATCATTAGAGAACGTTATTAAAAATAATTTTTAAAAGTTAAATATAGTAGGTGAGTTGGCATGCAATAGAAAAGTTTGACAATAACCCCTTCACTACATTTTTATTAAAACTTCTTAAACTTTCATGTTTTCTTAAACTTCTTAAACTTTTTTTATTATTAACCCGGGATGTCTGGGATGTTATGAACCCTTAGGGCCACTCAATAACCCGACTAATTCTCGAGAACTCAGAAGGGTGCCTCCCTACTTGGGCCGGGTAAGTCACTGCAAGGGTAGCGGAGGCTAGCCATAAAGAACATTCAGCGAGACTCGAATCCCTAACCAAGCTTGCTAAGTTACAAAGTCTAGCGAGTAAACCGCTGGGGCATATCCAAAGTGGATATAAAAAAAAAAAACACATGTTGTTAACGGTTAAGTGCCCCATACTCAGTCATGTATAGGCTATTATTAATTAAATGACGATAATGCCCTTAAGAACATTAAAAGACACTTATGCCAACACTACCTTCCCTAATTTCCTAAATCCCTAACTCACTCCTACTCCTCTCCTCACCTCATACCTCTCTCTACACAAACAAATACACAATATTTACACACATATTTTTAACAAAATGAAAGAATTAATGGCGAAGTTCACTCAATTTCAAATTGCTCCAGTTTTCTTACCTCCTCATAGGGGGATCACTCATGGGCGTATCTAGGGTTGGGCTGGGCTCCAACCCACAAAAATATATATATATATATATATATATATATATATATATATATATATATATATATATATATATTATTATTAGTATTAGCCCAAGTCAGTTAAGCCACAATACTAAAATAAAGACATAAGCCAAACAAGCCCTAATAATAAAAAAAATGCTTAAAAAATTGTGTTATTACATTTATGTTTAATTTTAGCCCACCCCATTGACAATTTCTGGATCCGCCATTGGGATCACTGCTCACTGCCAATTGCTCAATGCCATCTTCTTTTGAATTTTGATCATCGATCTAACGGACCTCCAGAATCCTCGTGTCCCATCGATCCCAATCTCCACAATAGAAACCCAAATTTTAAGTTGCTCCAGTTTTCTTGCCTTCTCATAGGGGCATCACTGCTCACTACCATGTGTTTGATGTCATCTTCTTTTGAATTTTGACCATCCGACGAACCTCCAAAACCCTCGTGTCCCATCGATCCCAATCTCCACAACAGAAACCCAAATACTTTTTTATTTTTATTTTTTATTATAGCAATATTTTGCAATAGCTTTTTTTCCCATAAAAATATTGAGTTGAAACAAATCGTTTTTTTTAAGAAAAATTGATTATGCATTGGTTTGCTTGTAGTGCTTCGGCCAAATGGTTATTTAATAGCATGTTTTAAATTTAATAATTAATTATTAAACTTTTCTCAACTTTGTGGTCACTTTAGAACAATTTTATTTAGAATTTTTTTTTTCAAGGCAAGAAGTGTTAAATGTTATATTATTATATGCAAATAGTCATGCTCTAAGGTCCATGGAGACACTAATTGTAATACCCCTAATTTTAGAAGGATAGTCTCGGTATTTATTTATTAGTTTTAATTGCATTTTTATTTAATTATTTGCTTATTTGGCTATTTGTTATATAGTTAATTGAATTAATTGTTTAAATTAATTTAAATTGTGTGCTTAAATGTTTTGTTTGAATGAAATTATTTATGATGTGTTTGTTTAATTTGTTTGATTACTTAAATGTTATATTTGTTTAAGTGTATTATTTGTTAGATTAAATGTTTTATTTTATTTTAAAAGGATATGGATTTGGATAGTAGTAATCGACAAACCCAAAGGGGTCACATGGACTACTTGGATAGGAGATTTGATGGGTGCGGATATCTACCCATATATGGATGGCGGTATATACATATATATATTTGAGTATATATGTATATAAGGATAAAGTAATATTATTATTCTTAGTGTAATAATAATAATATTATGATGACTAATATATTTTATATAATTATAAATTGTATTATAGTTATATATAAAATATCACGTACATAAACAATGCCTTATATATATATGTATTATTTTTATTTTTATTCTCTTTTTCTTTTATTAGAGGAATTGGTTTTTATTTAGGATTAGGGTTGGAATTTAACTTATATATACATAGGATATATGTCTGCCAAGGGTTTAGAACCCTATTCACGTATTATTGGAGGCAGAGTAGGTTTGAGAGAAAACAGAGAGTTTTTAAGAGAGAAAAAACTAGGGTATTGGCCAAGGAGTTAAGGCTAGACCAAGGAGGAAGATTGAGGATTGTTCGAGGGTTGGAACCAGAATAGTAGGAGGCTTCGACAGTGGTCACGGATCACCGGAAAAGCTAGGAAGAAGAAATTAAGGTCTCAATCCGAAACCTAGAACCAAGTTCTTCTTTTACTATTTCCCTTAGATTTCGTATTTCTATACATGCCTAGGTTAATTCCATGGGTTAATTAGATATTAAATCGACTTAATCTGCATGCTTAATTTGAATTAAAACAGTATATGGGTGTTTATATGTGTTCTTGATTAATCTTGAAATTAATTGCATGAAGCTTTGTTTTAATTCGTGTTTATAATGCATATGGACTTTATAAAATTATTGGGATCGTTTGGGACCTAGAACAGATGTTTAGGAACCTTACCGGAGGAGTACAGAGTGTCTGCAACTCACCGGAGATGAAGAAGATGGGAAATAACAGGAGTGGAGGCGGCTCCATCTCCAATGGAGGCGACTCCTTTACTTCTAGTTGGAATTTTGACGAATTTTGGTATTATGAAGTTCTAGGGTTGATTTGGATATTCATGGGACTTTCTAAATGTTTAATATTGTCATGGTAATATCCCATAATGCATAATGAATACTAGTATACTAAGAACTTGAACAATATGTAATTTCAAAATAATTTACATGTTGTTGTTGGATATGGATAATTTAAATTGATTACATGCTCCATGGCTGGGTCTTCAACGGGATGTGTAATTTGCCAACTATTTTGGGGTTTTAGGGTTCCA